AGCTGCTGCTGCTGCTTGGTAGCTGTTGCTGCTGCTGCTGCTTGGTAGCTGCTGCTGCTGCTGCTTAGCAGCTGCTGCTGCTGCTGCTGCTTGGTAGCTGCTGCCGCTGCTGCTGCTTGGTAGCTGCTCCTGCTGCTGCTGCTGCTGCTTGGTAGCTGGTGCTGCTGCTTGCTAGCTACTCCTGCTGCTGCTGCTTCTGCTGGTGCTGCTGCTTGCTAGCTACTCCTGCTGCTGCTTCTGCTGCTGCTTGGTAGCTTCTGCTTGCTGCCGCTGCCGCTGCTGGTTACAGTTATTGTTGCTGTGGCTGTTGCTGCTGCTGCTGCTACGGTTGCTGGGGTGGTTGCCATGTGTTGGCTGTGTTGGGGTCGTATTGGGGGGGGCGCTGTTGGCATTCTCCTTTTCCCTTGGCCATGGCATGTTGCGATTCCCGGCCAGGTTTTTGCTGCCTAAAGAGCCCCAGCGTTGTTTCTGTGCCTAGCTTTCGCCACCCCCCTTTGGGCCACAAGTATTGTTGAACATATTTCTTTACACTTATCCTACTACCAACAACACTCTGTTTCTGAATTTCGGAGAGGCACAGTACCAGGAGTTCTTACGCTGCGCAGAGTGCTGTGAAGAAGCAGCGTCCCTGAGCAACGGCACCATAGGTCGTCGAGAAGGTGCCCTTGCTTCGCTCCTTTGAACTGTTTGTCCTTTCTCATCCTTTCTCATGAAACTCGTTTCCTTTCTTGACCGAAATCTTTTTTGTTATACAGATACAGTTTCCTTTCTTTCCTTTCGTGTCGGTTCTTTCCTTCACTGACTTCTGTACAATCTGTGTGGAAGTGGCTTGTGAGCTTGAGAGGAGCCTTCGCTCACCTTCGCTTGGCTGTGCATCTTTTGGTGCGGGTGCCAACCCAGGTGACCCTTGGCAGGCGACAAAACCAAGATGTTTTGCAAACAAGAGCAAGAAGCTACTAGGAGCAAGGGCATCGCTACTAGTAGCTCCTGGCATTACGACTAGGAGCAAGAAGCTACTAGGAAACAGGAGCAAAATTTCAATGATTAGCGATGCTTTGCGGTATGGAAGTTACGTCCAGTTAGGTTTCTGCAATGCATTTTGCTCGGAAATTTAGGCCAACACACCACAAACGTCATACACCTGCATAACACCCACATACACCCACCGCACCTTTGCACACCAACTTCCTTTCTTCCCTTTCTTCCGCCCTAATCGATCAGGGTTCATGTCGTTCTAATGCTTGCAGCTTGCAATATACGGCTTGAATACTTTGTGGCCTGAAGAAGAACCCATGGTACTCATGTCCTGCTAGCCGAGACAAGCCTGCAATGACTGCGGCATAGCCTGCTACTAATCCTCAGTATTCAGGCGATGACAAGCATAATTAATGTGGGCACTGCTCCGGAGGACGAGAGTAGCAGAATCTAAGCGAACAGAACACGGACAATTTGCAAGTTTGATCTACAGCTCGAACAGTCTTCACGGGCCGACGGGGGAGTGCGAACGTTCCACACAAGTGTTTTGCCACAAGTGAACCGATCCACAAAGCCACAAAGTGCAAGTGTTCTTCACGAATCACTCCGAATCAGAGTGTTTTCACATCCGCCGAGCCTTTCGGAAGCGGCGCTCAGCCAGTGTCCGGTCCGACGCCTATTTTGGTCTATGGCCCACTGAACGAGGTCAAGCTAAACGAGAAGTTGGTTAGAAAGGGCTGGACATACTACCCTACAAAAAGTTCCGGTATCCATAGGCCTTAGAATGTTTAAGACTGCTTAAGTATGTTAAAGACCTTTTATTGTATGTTCTTTTAAGTAGATACATCTTTCTGTCAGTGTTTTCAGTTCTTCTTTTAACCAGTCTAGCTGACAGTGACGGTGCCATCAGGCGGCCACTCTCAGAGCTGTCCGATCGGCACCTGGGAATCTTGAGCAAAACGAGTGCGGCAAAAGGATCCACCAAGAGTTTCCTTTTTTTTGCTTCTGGTTCTTTCCGTTTTTTTCAAATTTATTGCTTTTTTTTGTTAACTTAAGGCTTAAGGGGTAATTCTTGATGCATCTTCTTTGTTGGTGGTTTTCACACGTTTGTTTTGACAACCAACATTTATTCGCAACTTAACGTTTCTTCGCACATGAAAAACAACAAATATGCGGTCAACATTTGCTGATCTGTTTCAGGAAAGGCTTTACGCCTCTTTGATGAGCTCAAAGATGAAAGAGAAGTGGCTGTGTGCCACTTTTACATGGCAACTTGTCCCGCCTGTATGCATTGGAATTGGGCCCCTTTGCAAAAGTGTGCTGATTGCCACCAGCATTTTCATTTGATCAAGCCCAACTTTTGCATGCTAGAAAGTTGCAAAGATACCTCCACTTTGAAGCAACTCAGCAGCTTTCATGGTTTTGCACTTTCGCCTTTCGCTAATACGTTCCTTGTTTGAAGTAGATTAGATATTCTGCCAACTTGCTTGAAACTAGCTGCATCATATTTGTACCCCGCCAGTGAGAAGAATTGATGTGACAACGTGAAAAGGTATCTTGTCACCCTCGAAATTAGGGAAACTTGAGGAGCGCAACACGGGGCCTTTGAAGTCAAATCGAGGCAGATTTGGCGTTGCAGGAGCAATCCATCCCGGGTGCTCCACCTTTGTCGAATCTCGTCCAGGTGGTCAGAGTCGAGATTGATTTGTTTCTTGATTGTTTGTTCTCATCTCTTATATAAGAATGCTCCTAGTAGCGATGCCCTTTGTTCCTAGTAGCTTCTTGCTCCTAGTAGTACGGCCAGGAGCCCCTAGTAGCGTCCTTGCTCCCAATTGGTGTCTTGATTTTAAGCATGATGTTTTGATGTGTTCCTTTTTGAGCGCAAGGAAAGCACGGCTGACTTCTGCGCAGCGTCACGCAAAGCGTTCTGCGGATTACTGGGAGCGCAAGGGTGCACTTGAATATGCCAAGGACGGAAATTGAACGGAAGTGCAGACAATTGTTTCAGTGCATAGCAGGACCTGATCAGCTCACATGTGTCAAATGCTCAGCAAAATGCGCATCTATGGCTGGCCTTGGCACTTTCTCGGGTTTATTGCTTCACATCATTTGACATTAGGCTTTGGGACCTCCCAATTCCCTACTCCGTACTAGTAACAAGAAGCTATTAGGTTGGAGGCCATCGCTACTAGGGTGGAGGCCATTACTACTAGTAGCAAGAAGCTACTCCGTACTCTCTAATTTTACTGCTGCATGCTGCTGCTGCCGATCCTGCCAACCAAGGCGAGTGGCGCGGTTGCTGGCTTGTCGACCGGCGGCTCAGGAGGCCTGGCGAATGATTCCATAAACGGAAGAGATGTTACTAGTAGCTTCTTGCTACTCGTACTAGTAGTATTGCCCTTGTTACTAGTAGCGATGCAGATGGTGACGGTCTTGGATACGACTGGGAGGCCATTTTTCATTTGGCTTCTGTTGAGACCAAGCTTCTGGGGCTGGCGAGAGAACGTCGGGGTGCCGACTCTCCCTTTGTTTGAAAAGCGTTGTCAAACGGTTGCTTGGGTTTGCAAACAAAGAGTGTGTTTGTTTCATGTTGTGTCCACTTGTATGCCGCTGTATGCCTTCCAAATGGATTAGTTTCCAAGGCCCCAAAGCTGATCGTTCGATGGATGAAGGACAGTGGCACAGTCTCTCACAAACGCAGATGGCAGAAATGCTGACATCGTTCAGCCAAGATGAGCCAATATCCTCCAGGACTTGTGAAGGACACTACGGTCCCGAGCCTGCGTCGAGAAATGGCCAGCATTTGCCAAGCCCAGAGCCTGGAACAAGGTTGCCGAAAGATAGGTATGGTATATATAATGAGGACATATAAGGACATGCGAAGCACGTACAACCTAGTGTACCAACCTACTAGTCCAACCTAAATCGTAAGGACATGCGAAGCACGTACAAGTAATGTGTCCAGAGATATATTCAGAACATGTTCCAAGTGTTTCCAAACGAGGCCGGCATCCGTCAGGGAGAGGAGCGGGAGCTGGGCTGTCGACACTCGTGGACACGAGATAGCATGTGAAGACCATGTGTGATACCTGATACACATGGTGACACGTCGTATTAACGTCAGTGTATGTTTGTACATCAAAGCTTTTTAGCGTCCTTGCTCCTAGTAGCGATGCCCTTTGCTCCTAGTAGCGTCCTTGCTCCTGCTTGCTTTTTCTCAGGACATCGAACGCTTGAAGGTGTTGTATCGACAGGCAGGGGCTTTGATGGTCACTTTACAACTGGGCACGTCGGTGACAAGGTGACAAGGTAGTTGATAGCTGGGGACCGAATTATGTAAAACAAAAACCAAAGAAAAAACAACACCTAGGATCGTTGTTGTACTCCCGGTTCTTCTTGCACATAACTGATCAAGCTGGCTTAAGCTGAATCTTTGCAGGTGCTTCGAAACGAGAAGATTTGTGATCAAGCTGGCAGTCAGAGCTGATAAGAACTCCAGGACGTTGCTTGATAGGAGCTCTTCATTGGGGCTGTTAGGCTGTGAGCACTGGGATAGAAAAGCTAAGCAAGACAACAGGACAAAAGAAAGAAATGACAAAAGGAAAGTGAGAGTCCCTTTACCTCCATGTTCTTTTTACCATTGAAGCAACTTTCTCAGCCAAAGGAAGCCGCAAAGAAAATAGTGTAGCAAAGTAGCAAGGAGTCGGCAAAGAACGATCTTGAGTTAAACTGAACTGCAATCACAGAGATCTTGCCTTGATTGCACAGCTGTCTTAAGTCCTCGAATTACCGATGCTCAGTGAAAGACTGACAGAGAAACGCAGAAAGACTGGCCTCCAAAGGATGCCGAAAAAAGCTGGGCATTTCACGGTTGTGTGCTTCTCACAGATGTTCATGGATTTGGATGATTCGATAATATTTGTTAAAACTTGATATAGGAAAATCAAGACACTATTAGGAACAAGTGCATCGCTATTTGGAACATGTCAATGAACACATGCGGAAATGATGTGGTTGTGTACCAGGCCACAACCGAAACTGCCATCGGACCGACGGAATGGGGCCCCAGAGACATGGCGACCTGCTTTTGTTGCGCTCAGTTCAATTTGGAGGTTATTCTAAATGGACCCAGATGAAGCACTAAAGTGCTGTGAACCACTAGCTTCTTGCTACTACTAGCTTCTTGCTCCTAGTAGTAAGGCCAGGAGCCCCTAGTAGCGTCCTTGCTCCTAGTAGCGATGCCCTTTGCTCCTAGTAGCTTCTTACTTTGAGGCTTGAGCGCGAACGCGAACGCGGAGGTGCTGGACGTGTTAAACTGATCGACAGTCAGATTTCGACGCAAGTCGATGTGCCAGGTGAACGTCTTTCCGGGCCCAGCCCAGGCAGCAGTGCAACCTATTCACCAGTGAGAGGACCTAGAGGGAGGGAGAGGGAGAGAGTAAAGCCACGAACGGGAATACTCAATACTCTCCACATGACATTGAGGTACTCGACATTTTGCGTCACGTGTCAATCCGAACAGCGAGGCCGTGGACGGCGCTTCTCCGGTCCTTCGCTTGGACCTCCGTCCGCAGCCCAAACAGCGCTAGAGTGAACGAGCGTTGAAATGTTGACGTAAAGTCAAGTGTTGACATGTCATGAGTCATGAAGCTACTAGTAACAAGTGCATCGCTTCTAGTAACAAGTGCCTTACTAGTAGTAACAATGTTTGGAATTGAAAAAAAACAATCATCATAAAGTCGTTCACAACGCTTCGTCTCCACCCCTCTCATCATTTCTGCTCCAAGGCCGGTTTGGGTTGCCAAAAGTCCAAAAGTTGTTCGGAGAGGAGGTGATGTTAGGCGATGTTAGGCGTCGCATATTCGCACCACTGGAGCGTTCGCAACTGCTCGCGACTGTTCGCGAGAGCTCCAATGAGCTCGACGAACTGTTCGCAACAGTTCTCCCTTGGGGAAGAGCTTCGATGATGTTGGTGCTTCTAACAGAGCAGCGGAGCAACCCAGGCTTTCTTCGAAATCAAGTGAGATAGCTCGTGCAGCCTTTGCCCTCGATCCACGCATGGCCCACCATGCCCGAGCATGAAGCATGGCTGCAACTGCGCATCACAGAGTGGTTCCCTGTTTCCTATGCACATTGGCAGCTGTATGCAGGGCACTTCTGCGACTCTTGCTTTTGCTTTATATAGTTGAAATCGAACAATGAGAGGACAGCATTAATTGATCCCCATCCTCGTCCCTCACCAATCGTCGCACCCATCTGCCAGTTTCTCATCCACCCCTGCCTTATTCCAAGTCCAGTTCCGGCAGTTTCTTGAAGCTAGGGCATTACTACTAGTAGCTAGGGCATTACTACATATTAATACTAGTCACAAGGCCATCGCTAGTAGGGTGGAGGCCATTGCTTCTAGGCTAGAGTGCATGTACTTTGTCCAAGTTTATTTTTATTTTCACCTTCCCAAGGCACCTCGCCTCAACAAGCTGAGGATTCTGTTGTGAGAAAGATAGACGCGAAAGAGTGAAATGTTTTGTGAACAAAGACTGTTCTCGTTTGAGAAGTTGTTCTCGCTCTAGGATCCAATGGAGCGCTTCATTTTTCCAGAGGCTCTTTCTCCCTCTCGGAAACCTGAGAGAGGCGGGATGTTTTTTTTGCATTTTTTTTGGGCAGTTTCAGTGTGCCTAGCTGCTAGCTTTGCGGCTTTGCCGTTTGCAGTCCGGCCTTCAGCAACGCTGAGTGTCGAGACAGCTGGATGCTGAGTTCTTTGCTGGTTGATCCCGTCCTCAACTTTGGAGAGTGCTATTGCATTAATCAAGGGTTTTCTTTACAACCTTTTCTTCAAACATTTGAACGATTTTGTGTCTTTTAACTGGTCACGTCCCGTTTTTCTTTGTCCTTGCCAGGCTCTGAGCCCGCCGCAAAGTACGACGGAGGCTGAGCCAAAGAGCTCTACAAGGTGCCCCGCACTTCACGGAGCGACGCAGCGAGATTCAACGGTTCTACAGCATGTTTTGATGCGGAAAGCACAATGCCATATTTGTTCCAGCAGAGAATAGCGATGTGTAGTACTTGGGTAGTGCTTTTTGGCTCGTTCGCAAACAGGGCAATTGAGAACAATTTAGATCCAACATCAGTGTGTTCGATCTACTAGTAACAAGAAGCTACTAGGAGCAAAGGGCATCGCTACTAGTAACAAGAAGCTACTCGTAGCAAAAACATATTTCAGTGACTCAGGGGTGAGCCTGAGCGCTTTCCACTTGCCTCAGGTGCGAGGATGCTGAGGTGCCAAACCGGCGTTCAATGTCCAAACAACAATTCTGAGTTGTTGGTGAAACAAGCACATCTAATAGAAGTTCAGAAGCTTCCAGAACTTCGAAGTATTCTGAGGAGATGGCATATTTGAGAAAGAATGTGGAGCATCTCTGCTTCGCAAAGAGGCGGTTAGAGGAGAAGGTTCAGGACCAAACCGGGAGGCATTTGTGCTTTGTCACATGTTGATCATGCTTAAACACATGCTGCCCTGTCAGAGTTAAGACGGTCAGCTGAAACTTATCATACCCAACTTCAAATAAAAACTGCGAAATATGATGCAAAAGCATCCTGCGTTTGTATATTTGTTGTCTTTAAAGAAATCCGATGTATTTGGAACATTTTGGCCTGCTTGAAGGAACTGGAGTCACGCTGCACAGCCTTGGACCAACGGAAGCAGCAGTGGGAGGGCTCAGAGCTTGGCACAAAATAAGAAACCAACCAGTAGCAACGACCTCCAAGCTGCTAAAGTTTCCGCAAGACTTTGAGAATCACAAGATATCACAAGTAGACACACGATAAACATTGCAGATGAAAACGGGCTCCTTTGTTGCAAGTTGTTAGTCCTGTTGGCCTTTTGCAGGTACAAGCTCCTCTATGAGCAAGCATTGCGTGAACAGTCCGCAACTCGAGGTTTCGCACACGAAGACAGGGAGAAAGAACAAGGAAAGGCCGCAAGGCGCCCAAAAAAGAAATCATGTCCAAAAGAACAAATCACACGTGAATGAAACAAGATTTTTTTTTGCTTTTAATGAAAAGAACGGTTTCAATCAACACCGGCTGCTGAGGGCTGCAGGGGGGGGGCCTTGAAATCAGCAGTCTTCATCAGCAGCTCAGCGCTGTCTCACTGCTGAAGGACCGGGAACTTGACATTTGTTTTCGATCTTGAGACCTTTCCCTTTTTCTATTGGGTCGGAGGCCAGCGCTATTAAGTCTAAGTTGGAGGCCATCGCTAGTAGGTTGGAGGTCATCGCTGTTAGGCTGGATTCTTTCTTTCCTTCCTTCATTTTGTTTCCTTTCCAGCTTGGAAAGCAGACCGAGCAAGTTCCAGGACGCATTGAACCAAGAGAACATGGCAGGTTGACCCAGATATACTGAAGTTTTTGTATGTCTTGAGGACCAAACATTGAATCATGCCAGTAGGTTGGAGGACATCGCTATTAGAAACAAAGGAATAAGAAAAGGAAGAAAAGGAAGAAAGACAACTTCTTTTAGCTTTAGGTCTCGACGGGTGTGACGCGTTGCGTCACCGAGGAATTGTCCCGTCGCCTCGAAGAGGCACAACGGAATGAGACGAAAGTCTCTCAGGCGACGGGAAAATTGAGAAAAAGAAAAGAACAATAATTAGAATTCTAATTAATAGCTTCTTGTTACTACTAGTAAGGCACTTGTTACTACTAGCGAGGCACTTGTAATTACTAGAGAAAAAGAAAAGAACAAAGCGAGAAGAAAGAGAAGAGGATGAGAAAGGACACGCAAAAGGAGCTCTTCAAAGGGTTTTCAACACCTCTACTTTCAGAAAGTCTTGGAAGTTGAAGGATCTTCTTTGTTTCGTTCTTTTTTGGATTTCTTGAATGTGCTCTATTCAAGGTTGGAAACCTTCCTAGTATATACATGTTTTTCACTAAGGTGAGCTCGCAGGCCAGGAAGAAACCGCACATTTTTGATTGCAATGCAGCCTTCAAGAGGGGGAGCTCTCAGTAAAATGAATATCCATCTCGAACAACTCTGCTACTTAGGCTCAGTGCGTCATTTGCATGGACAATCTGGCAAATGTTGTGTGCCTTCCGTGCAAGCATCTTGCAACGTGCTCGTAGTGGCCTCAATGGTCTTTGCATGATACAATCATACAACATATCATACTTTGCATATGTTTGCCCTTGTGTTCAAAGCCTTTTCAGGCTTTGGAATTACGACTTTGCTCGAAGCTGCAGGTTTTGTGGCAAGCGAGAGATTGCAGAATGCCCCCTTTGCCTCTTGGAGAAATTGACGCAACTCTGAGAGGACGAAAGTGGATGAGTTGCTACTAGTAGCAAAGGGCATCGCTACTAGGAGCAAGGACGCTACTAGTTGCTCCTGGCATTACTACTAGCAACAAGAAGCTCTGAGAGGATTGCATGCTGAGAAGTTGCCTCACCAGGCCGGACGAAAGTGGCTGAGACGATGCAGATTTTCACGCCCTGAGAGCAAAAAAGGTCGGCAATCAGAAGTCAGGAAGCAGTAACAGAACAAAACATGCAAAACATGCAAAGTCCAGTATGACGGGGTTGGCAGTGCACCTGTTCAAGTTTGTGTCTTGACCCAGCTCTGTAGTATGAGACCTCAGAAAGGCACTGTCCGAAGCTGCCCCTGTTAGCCGGCCATAATAACAAACCATAGCAGACCTTTACTCTATTTTTTACCCCGATGGCCTCCACCCTAATTGCAATGGCCTCCCCTAAATTTTGGGCAACACAGCATGGAGCAAGTCTTCCCCTTTGCCGGAACGCGTCAACCAACAGAGACATTGGAACGTGTTGGCAGTGTGTAGCCACGAGACTGTGAGGATGGTAGTGCGGAGCTGGTGTGGGGAGTCGTTTGAGCATTTCTCTTGAACACGAATGGTTTCCGTTGACCAAGTGATGCCCATAGATCCTATATAGATGTTGCTTATGTTTCTTGTATTTTGTTTGCTTCTACTAAAGCAGAAGTTGGCCAACGTCCACGTACTGTTTCCCTAGTGGTGATTATTTGCGCAAACGATGGAAGCGGATTCGTGTGAAGATGTTGCAGAGGCGGGACCGGGAGTGATGAGAAAGAAATTGCCCGGTAGGCAGTACCTTAATAGCAAGTCGCTACTAGCGATGGCCTCCAACCTAGCGAATGAAAGTAAATTGGATCGGCAGTGCGAGAGGTACAAGAAACTGCTGACGATGCTTCTGACAAAGGGTCTACGCTGGATGAGACTCAAAAGAAAGAGGACATCAAGGGTAGAGAGGCAAGGCGCAGCGAGATGCGTTAAGTTTGGGCACGCCCGATAGATCTGGGCATCTTCAACATGTGTGCTCTCTCTCTCTCTCTCTCTCAGTCTCAAATGATTTCTGTTTAGAGACTGAGCGTTTGACTGTCATTTTAAGTTGTTTGTGGCATATGGTGCCAATGGGTCCCCTGACAGGCGTTCTATCGCGGGGATTATGAAGAAGCCGCGAAAGTTTGGATGACATCTTTGCGTTCGGTGAAATATTTGCTGGACAAAAAGTTGCCACTTGGAGGGCGAGAAGTTGATGTAAGGTAGAGCACAGTTGAGAGGCATTCTCTACACTTGATTTATTCTTTGCCAGATTGCGATTGGAAGCATCTCTGAAGGTATGCACACAATGCTGAGCATCAGAAGCAAGTTGAGAGGCTAAGCTGCACAGTTGAGAGGGGACTGAGTTTGAGAGCTATCGAAGCTGGGTACCTTTTGGTACCGCAACCAAACACGTCCGTTCCGCGCTTTCTCGTATTTGCCAAGGAACATGGCCCTGCGCTTAGCAGCATGGGGTAGATGTTTTGGCGTGCCGTTTGGACAAAATAACAGAAAAAGAGAAAACATCTTAATAAGTTCAATTACAGTATAGTCTAATAGTCGGAAACATGAACTTACCCTTTCAGTTCGGAACCAAGGACCTGAGATTCAATCTGAATCTGGCAATGGCCCATCTTAAGCTGCGTGATTTCAGCAAGGCAATCGCTTGGAACTTACAAAATTGAAGCAACAGTGACTTAAAGTCATCGTGTTAGTCTTCATTATGTTTCTTAGTCTTCATGTTTGCGCCGGAGTAAGGAGTTTGCGGACAATGCCTTGAAAAGAGATCCGACCAACACAAGGGTGCAAGCCTTTGGTGCACAGAAAATGCAGAGAAAAGAAATTCCCTCACATCTTGCCAATTAGATTCATTTTAGCACTCCAAGACTCGTCCTTTCGAATGTCTCCGCCTGTTGTGTTCCCCTCCTCGAACAAACCCTCGAATCCGTTTCGCCCGGCATGAGGCGCTCTACAGGAAGTCAATGGCACTTTTTGAGACATTGGACTTTTCAGAAGCCGAGACCGAGCTTTTGCTTTTCAGAGAAAAGGTGTTTTGGAGTCAAACTCGTAAAACCAAATGTTCATCTTCCGTTTGTTTGTTCTCAACAATTGAGGCGGCTGAATCGCTGCAAAAGCTTTTGGAGATTGAGCCTGGAAACCTTGCCGCCCAGGAGACCCATTCCCGCTCTTCGCTTCACAAACCTCGTCCGAAGCAAAGTAAAGATGTCCCTTGAATCGGAGCCTTAGAACCCTGTATGATTGCAGCTTCTTGTTACTGCTAGTAAGGCCAGGAGCCCCTAGTAGCTTCTTGTTACTACTAGTAAGGCACTTGTTACTACAAGCGATGCACTTGCTCCTAGTAGCTTTTTTGTTTCTAATAGGTATAGGTTTATGCCTCAAGACTTGGTATGAGAGGTTGAGGTCGTATACGTCTCTACTCCTCACGCGGGTTCAACTTCCCAAGCCGTGGAAGTGGAACATTATAAACACGCGATTGTCCCCTTCCATGATTGTTTCGAGGGAAGTCACTAATTCAAAGATGTTCCTAACCGCTCCAAGAACAAAGTGACTGGTTCACTTCGTGTCGTCCATGTTTGCTCTTTAACTCCGCTCCTTCCATCTCCTTCCCATCTCAAGTCATCCAACTTTGGGGGTCACGCTTTTAGATCGCGTTCGTTTGCATTGTTTCTACTAGTGATGGCCTCCACCCTACTGCATTGTCAATTGTTTCTTCCTTTCCAATTCTGCCTTTCGCCCCTTCGCTTGTTGAGTCATTACTTCCCCTTTTCAGGTGCTAACGTGGGGTTGTGTGCATGTGTGTATCAGCTTGCTATGTATCAATTCCTCGAACTCCTCTGCTCCATTTCATTATTTTCGCTTATTGGCCTACAGGGCCTACAGTAATAAAGTCTACCTATCATGTTTTTTTTGGTTTCCTGCATTACCTCCAAGCCTGATTTTGTTGCATACTCATACTTTAATTGTTCTGCTGAATTCTCTTCCTTTTGCAACTTGGTGACCCCCACAAAGCAAGCAATCCTTTCTAGGGCTCCTTTGTTTGTCCCTTGAGACATTCAAACCAGCAGGATCTTTTGCAAAAAGCAAAACGTGTCTTGGCTGCAATCCGCGTGCCGATCCAAGTTGCCGAAGGCGTCGTTCGTTCACTGCCAACGAAAGGCTCCCTGGGCCTTTGGTCTTACAGTAGCCTCTAGACTCTAGATGGGATTCAGGCAAGAACATCAAATTGTGGGGCATGTGCCTAGCAGATAGGTTGGAGGCCACTGCTACTAGGTTGGAGGCCATTGCTATTAGGTTTGAGGCCATTGCTGTTAATGTGGTTTGAGAAAGCCAGACGTCAGTGAGACCTGTCCCTTCGCAGAGGCAATCAGGCGAAAGGGGAGTTGAGTCGCTGGCTCGGTTGAGGGACTTCTCAGGGCGATTCTTCTCAGAGCTACTGGTAACAAGGGCATCGCTACTAGTAGCTTCTTGCTACTAATAAGAATGCTCCTAGTAGCGATGCCAGGAGCCCCTAGTAGCGTCCTTGCTCCTAGTAGTAAGGCCAGGAGCCCCTAGTAGCTTCTAGCTACTAGCAATGCCCTTGTTCCTAGTAGCGATGCCCTTTGCATTCCTCAGGAGCAAAAAAAATGTCTCAGAAGATGTTTGGCTCCACGCCAAAGCAGGCCGATGAGTGGTGTTTGGTTCGAGAAATTGAAACGAAAGCCAAACACTTTGAGAGGTGGACGGCATCAGCGCCTTGGGGCGATTGCGGCCACTTGGAAGATCGAAACCACTCGAAGAGAACAGAAACACTGCTCACTGCTCTTTTCTTTTCTAGTGTTGAATTACTAGTAGTTTTTTGTTACTAGTAGTAAGGCCAGGAGCTACTGGTAGCATCCTTGCTCCTGGTAGTACGGCCAGGAGCCCCCAGTAGCTTCTTGTTGCTGTGAAAGCACTCCTTTCGTTTCCGCAAGCTTTCGTTGGCATGAACATGCATGTCACGGTTTGAACATGTACCGCCCTTTGAGGCACAAGGGTTTCTAGCAGTGTGGAGAAAATTAGCTTCATGGTCCGTCGCCGCTGTTTGCTGTGCACCAGTGCATTTATATTGGTGCCGCGGAGCTGTTTGGTTGGATTTCAGGGTCGATGACCTCTCGCCCCAGGGCTTGGCAGCCTAGGAGACCACGACCTCCTCCGATAGAAGAAGGTGATCTACAGGATCCTGACCATGCACCCGGAGGAGATCATTGGACGACCCCTTCGACTACGTCGCAGCCGAACCCGACACCTGAGACTTGGAATGATGAAGGTTGGGAAGCGTTCGCATGGGATGCGACCGCCTGGGCTGTAGATCCTTGGTCCCAGTCCGGGACCGATCCATGGGGTGGAAGTGGTTCTTCGCGGGATGGTTGGATGACCGACGCCCAGCTCAGAGATTTCAATGTGGCTAGAGTTGATCGAACTACGGCCATCAACAATGGTAGATGGGCTGGCAGCTACGACTTGGCCTCTGACTGGCCTGATAGAGCTTGGCGGTCGGATCCCAAACCCTCCGAGAAGCTGGTGGTCCCTGAGTTTGATGGCGAGGGCATCAATGACACCGAACTTGGCCGCTCGGCACGATCGTATGTCCGCCGAGTTCAGGTTTGGCTTCGATGCACGAAGATGCCACCAGAACAAAGAGCCTTGGCTTTGTACACCGCCCTCACGGGCAAAGCATGGGTCTACGCCGAGGAGCTTGATGTCGACCTCTTGGCCATGGACACCGGAGTCTCCTACTTCCTCGAATGGATTCAGACTCGCTTCATGGAGGTCGAGTTGACCAAGATCTCCGGCATCATGAATGAGCTCTTCCGAAAATGCCGGAGGAGGACTGACCAGAGTGTGCGGGACTTCAACGTGGAGTTTGAGCGCTTGGTCCTTCGCCTTCATGAAGTCCGCTGTGAACTTCCACCCTTGATCAAAGGGTGGCTGTACTTAGACAAGCTGAGGTTGAGTGAGGCTGAAGAACTGGCTCTCCTGTCCAGCGTGAACAATACCTATGATGTTCGTCGCCTTCAACAAGCGGCCCTGGTGCAGGACAGATCTTTGAGACGCCCCAGTTCGAACCACGCCGAGCCGGAGAAGAAGCCATGGGGAAAACGTTGGACTGGTCGACAGTCGGTCCACCTGACCTACCACGACGAGACCTCCGAAGAAGAAGACGAAGGTGGAGAAGAAGGAGATGGTGAGCTCGTGGACGAGGAGACCGCCTGTCAGCAGCACACGGCTTACATGGCCTACCAGGGTGCCAAGGCCAAATATCGAGAAGCGCTTCGAGGCCGTGGAGCTGATGTTGAGGAGCTGAAGAAACGTTCTGATGAACGTTTGAAGTTGGCCAAGCTGAGAAGCTACTGCTCGGCCTGCAAACGAAAAGGGCATTGGCATCGGGATCCCGAATGCCCGATGCGAGGCCAATCTTCGCGACCAGTCCGCCCTGATGACAAGTCTGAAGGTGGCAAGCAGATGCAGTCCGCTCAGATGTGCCAGGTGGTCTACTTGACTGAGGTCTCCGGGGTGACTGGCCGGGGATGCCAGTCCTTCAACCTTGAGGACCACGTGGGCACTGGTGGGGCGGTTGAGACCTTTGTGCCAAAGGCTGAGATCGGTGAACCAAGTGAGATTGTCGAGTCCTTTGTCCTTGACGCCTCCGAGGGTAACACCTGGTTGGGGGGGGAATTGCATTCCATGCCAGTTCTACAACCGGGACGCCGAGGAGGAGAACAAGTGGCAGGGGTCTTGTTTCATGACCTCGATGGAAAAGGCCTCGGAGCTTCAGAAGCCTGTCCGAGGCTGCAATGGCTTGCTGGCCATTGTGGACACCGCCTGCACCAAGTCGGTTGCAGGCCATGATTGGTTTGAAGAGTATGCCGATTGGGCAGCTGAACATGGATACCAAGTTGTGACCAGTGATCATCAAGAGCACTTCCGCTTTGGCGCTTCGAAGGTCTATGTCTCGACCTTCCTGGTCCGTGCTTGGTTCGCAATTCGCAGCCGATTTTTCCAAGTTGATGTATCCATAGTGCCTTGCTCCGTGCCATTGCTTTTCAGCAGGCCGGTTTTGGCTGATCTTGGAATGCTTTATGATGTGGCCACTGAAGAGGTGGACCTTCAAGCTTTACACCTACAGAAGGTGAAATTATGGACAAGTGAGTCAGGGCATCCAGCCCTGTGGGTGTCGGATTGTGGCGACAAAGCCATTCCAGACACGTTGCCCCCGAAACGGGATGGAGAGCTTCACTTTGCAGCGGAGGAGGCATACATGAGCGCACCAGTGGCAACACCTCCTTTTCCATTGTTTTACACCAAGAAGCTCCCCATTGAGATTCAGAGCACGCTGTCCTCTCCCACGCTGGGTGGCACTGGGTTCCTTTGTTGGTGGAAGACGGTCAAACAAAGCCGGGATTTTTGGGTCGAGACCAAGACTGAGTTCATCCGCATTCATGTTGTGCCCCGAAAAACCTGGTTCGATCCGTCTCGATGGAATACGTCGCTTTCGACTTTGAAGCAAATGTTGCTGAAGCAGTTGACCGGGAAGAGAACAACTGAATATTTACCTTGTTTGGCAGCCGGCACTCTCGTCGAGATTCACCATGATGTTTTTTCAGTTGATGGAGACCCTGGTTTGGCTTTCACTCCATGGATTGGTCGCAGCCGCTTCACGAAGCAAGTTCGAGCTGTCTGCGCGACCAGCCCCTGTACGGCGTGCGCGACTTTTGATGCCTTCTCTCGCCCCGTCGCCATGGAACATGAAGAAGGCTCAGCTTCTGGCCGAGCTGAACGAGAGGGGCGTGGTGGTGCACACCTCATGGACGGTGCCGGAGCTCCGGCAGATCCTCATCGAACAGCGCGACCTGGAGAAGCCTCCTTCTGCGGTCAACGACAAGATGAAAGGCCTCACTTCGCTCAAGCTGCAGGAGCTGGTGGACTTGGCCGAGAAGGAGGGGATCTCATTGCCCACGAAGCCCACACGGGGGCTCTGATCAAGTTGATTCGAAATCATCGCAGCACCCCGAGCCAGACGGTGGTGCCGTTCGGCCGCTTCAAGGGCTACATGTACCAGGAGGTCCCCGAGCCCTACCTGCACTAGGCCATCCAGGAGACGAAGGGCAACCCGAACTCCCACGAGGACCTGGTCAGGTTGGCGACTTGGGCAAAAGGGGATCTACTCCGTCGCAAGGAGATGGGCGTCTCGACCAACACGAAGGCAGACTTGGGTCGCGATCCCGAAGCCCTGGCCCTGATTCCTCCGCCAAGGACGAAGAAGCAATCGGCGGCTCCCAGTTCATCCGACGAGTCATGGCATGTGATGCGGACCCCGCCCAAGAAGAAGGGAGCTGCGGAGATGACGGAGAGCGACATCGTGGAGGAGGACGAGAGCGCGGAGGAGCAGATTCGTGCACTGGAGGGCCAAATCTCCGCCCTCAAGAAACGCCAGTCCAAGGCCTAGATGAAAGGGGTGGCGGAACCGGGCCCGCGACTTCTCCTCTTGCCCGGGGGCACTATAAGACCGGGGGCGACCGGTACCAGGCCTATGAGACTGCGGATGAGGCGTGCCAGAATGCGGGTGGGGCGGTGAACTTCACCCATAACCTGGCGAATGAGGAGGCCGACAGCTATGAGGTTGGCAGGGACCAACACTATGAGGTTGAAGATGATGACAACGTGACCAGCTCTGGGAATGAGACTCTATCGCCTCGTGATCGAGCCCGAGCGGGGATGAGGCAACGCCGTCTACAAGCCCGTTCGAACCTGAGGAAAGTTCGCGATGGAGTCATGAGCATCTTCCAGGTCATGTTGGCCGCCTCTGCTATGGTTGGCAGCTGGGCGGAAAGTGTGGTCGGTGACCCTATGTGGGACGCCTGGGCAGTCATGCAACCCAGGCACTATGAGCGGGATGGACATTCTTCATCTTCCTCGGACTCAGAGGTCGATTGCTTGGAGCTGTTTGCTGGGGAAGCTCGCATCTCGGCGGCGTTTGCTCGCAAGCGACGAGGCGTCCTAGAGCCTCGGGATATCAGGTATGACCATGACCTTCGCTCTCAAGATGTGCAGCAAGAGATCCTGTCCGAGATACATCACCTGCGTCCGGGGATGGTTTGGATGGCTCCACCATGCACTGTGTGGTGCAACTTCTCCAGGTTGAACTATGGCCCTCAGGAGCTCCGTCGACGCCGGAGGCGAGAACAGGCTTTGGTGGAGTTCACGGCCAAGGTCTTCGAGCTGCAACATGGCTTGGGGGTGGGTTTAGTCATCGTGGAAAATCCCCGGAGCAGTGATCTATGGAGGCATCCGCTGATGGAGCAGCTGTCCAACTACCCGGCGGCCCGCTTCGCAGACTTTGACATGTGTCAGTACCAACTGACAAGCTGCATTGATGGACAGCCATTGAAGAAAGCGATGTCGCTTCTGACCAACAACAGTTGTTTTGCTGGCCTGATATCAAGGCGATGCGAGAAGGGAGAACATGACCACCGACCCATACAGGGCAGGGATACTTCTTTTTCTTCTGCCTACCCGACTGCCTTTGCCAATGCGGTGGTCCGGGCCTACGATGGGGCCAAGAAAGGAACGAGGGAGACAACCACACATTTCCCCACAGCGCATGAACCTGGTCCAGCCGCTGGTGATTCTGGACTACCTGAAGACCTACCGCATGGAGCTGAGGCAATCTCGTTCAAAGGCAAAGTCAAGCCTATGGTGGCAGCAACCCTCAAGCGAATTCATCAAAACTTGGGACATCCACCAACCAGGGAGTTGGTAAGACATCTCCGGTTGAGTGGGGCATCGGAGGGCATCGCGCGAGCCGCCGAACAATTGGTTTGCAAGACATGTGAAAAACACCGGCGACCTCGACCGGCGAGAGTGGCGCAACCACAAGCCGCTTTGGACTTCAACCAGGTGGTGGCGGTGGACATCATCTGGCTGGACACATGTGAGAGCACGGCCCTCCCCGCTTTGAATTGCGTCGACATGGCCAGCACCTATCAAGTCGCGATCCCACTACCCGGCATATCTTCAGCAGAAGTCGGGGCAGCCTTCATAGATGGGCGGGTTTCCTGGGCAGGCGCACCCAGGCACTTGCTGGCCGATTTGGATTCAGCCTTCAAAGACAAGTTCCTCGAGTTACTCGATCAAAGGAGCACTGTCATCCGGTGCTCTGCCGGCCAAGCACATTGGCAGAACGGTCTATGTGAGCGTCATGGAGCATCTTGGAAAGCAATTTGGTCCAAGCTGGTCGAGGAGACTTCGATCCTCGACGATGATGTGAAGGAGGCCTGTGCAGCAGTCAATGATGCCAAGAATGGCCTGCGATCCAAAGCTGGTTACTCGCCTCGGCAGTGGCTATTTGGGACACAGCTGAGAGATCATGACCTCTTCAATGATGAGGAGGACCTGGCGGCCTTCTATAACATCACCACTGACGAGGCCTTCGGCAGAAGACATGTGATCAGGCTCGGAGCCCGAGCTGCTTACTATCAAGCCCAGTCGAAAGACGCCGTCGCCAAAGCCATTGCGCATCGAGCCCGAGTCACTGAACGACCCTTCGATCCTGGCGAACTGGTCTATGTGTATCGAGAGGGCAAGGGCAAGAAGCGATGGATTGGACCGTGTTCGGTCATTGGCCGAGAAGGACACAACTACTGGGTCGCTAGGGGTGGCAGATGCTTGCTGGTGGCTCCTGAACACCTCCGTGAAGCACGACATGAAGAGGTCAGTGAAGGACTTCGTATCCGGGTGGCCATGCGGGAGCTCAAACAGCTGATGGAGGCTGAAGATGATGGCTCCTTCTATGAGCTTGGCAGTGAGGAGGAGATCGATGCCCATGCACCAGATCACCTACGTCCTGACGATCATGGAAGAGAAGATGTGGAGATGGAGGCACCAGATGAAGCAGGTGCCGCAGCTGCAAGCGTGGAGGCCCGTGCCGAGGCCATCCGGCCCGAGGCCCGAAAGGCCCATGTCCTTGACGATGTGCCCGTGCCCATCAAAAGATTCAGGGCCCAACAACCCTTTCGCGTTGAACGCCCTTTCTATGTCAAGAAAGTCCTCACGGAAAAGGGGAAGGAAAAGCAGTTGGACAAAGAGCTTCCTTGGCACCTCATCCCACCGGAAGAACGACCTGAATATGAGGCTGCAGAGCTAAAACAATGGCAAGAGCACCTCGACTTTGGAGCAGTCCGAGCCCTGTCGGTCTCTGAGAGCGCCGAGGTCGAGAAGACTGTGGACCCCCGCCGCATCTTGAACTGCAGGTTCCTTTACCGCGACAAGAACCGGGCAAAGCGACGGGTGGATCCCACTGTGAAGCTCAAAGCGAAGGCCCGACTTTGTGTGGCTGGACAACACGACCCTGATCTTGGAGTTGTTGACATGGTCACCGATGCCCCCACCACGTCCAGACATGCTTTGCTCTTGGCCCTGCAGTTGAGCCTGGCACGAAAGTGGAGGGCATCTGTTGGAGACATCAGAGCTGCCTTCCTCAATGGGGTTTCAGCGCCTCGCCACCTCTATTTCAGACAACCACGACGAGGCACGCCAACCCTTCAAAAGGGTCAGCTGATTGAGATCATCAAGGGGGTCTTTGGCCTGTCCACTTCGCCCAAGCTCTGGTGGATGAAGCTCTCATCAGAGCTACGTCAAATGAAGTTGAACTTTGAAGGACGTCAAATGCATGTGGAACAAAACTACATCGACCCGTGCGTCTTCATGCTTGTGGATGAGGCCGGCAACACCCGTGGACTGATCTTGACCCATGTCGATGATTTGATGCTGTTGGCTGAGCCTGGACTTGATGAGATGGTGCAGAAGACATTGTCCGGCTTGTTTCCTGTAGACGAATGGGAGAACGGCATCTTCGAGTACCTGGGGTGTGAATACGAATGCCAGGAGGAGACGATCTACATCCGACAGCTCAACTACACCCAGAGCCGTGTGGAAAAGGTGACCCTGACACAGGGAATGGCTGATGATGCTCCGGCCACGGCTGAACAATGTGAAGAAAACCGGACAACCATCGGATGTCTGTCATGGCTGGCCAAACAAACCCGGCCTGACTTGCAGTTTCAAGTATGTCAAGCCCAGAGGAAGCAGAAGAGTCCCACTGTGGGAGACATCAAGGAAACCAACAAAGCCGTGACGGACGCCTTGAATTACAAGAATGAGGGCTTGGCTCTTCACTACATCCCGGAGAAGGACATCGTGATGATTGGATACCATGACGCGGCCTGGGGCAATGTGGATGGAGAGCAGCTTGAGGCCGGTGATGAAGAGTGGTATGGCAAGCATACCTTGTCGTCGCAACTTGGCTCTTTGGTGGTGATTGCCGATCGCCGCTGTTTGGAAGGGAAAGATGGCCGCTTCAGCATTGTGGACTGGAAGAGCAGGTCTTCACATCGTGTGCGCCGGTCCACATTCGCTGGTGAAACGATGGCCTGTTCAGAAGCCATCGAGACCTCCATCTACCTCCGAAGCCTCTTGCTCTCATTCCAGCTTGGGAAGCAGGTGGACGCCGAAGAAGCTGGCTCGCACATCCCTCTCCACCTGATCACGGACTGCAAGAGCTTGTATGACCACATACACCGAGAAGGTGTACCTCGAGCCCCAAGCGAAAAGAGATTGGCCATCGACCTGGCCGGGATTCGACAGGTGCTCCTACTTGAAGGAAGGCATCAATGGCACCAACGCCATGGAGCTGGAGAACCTGCTCCTGAGCGCCCTTTGCGCCCGCCGCTGCATTGGCTGCCTACAGGTGACCAGATGGCCGACCTGTTGACCAAGAGACTCAAGCCCGAAGAATGGTGGCTGACAGTGAGGCGGGCAGTCTTGAATTTTCCACTGCGCGAAGGTGTGCGCAGGGCTTTTGAAAAAGCGGAGATTTGATATGAGTGTGAAAGCACTCCTTTCGTTTCCGCAAGCTTTCGTTGGCATGAACATGCATGTCACGGTTTGAACATGTACCGCCCTTTGAGGCACAAGGGTTTCTAGCAGTGTGGAGAAAATTAGCTTCATGGTCCGTCGCCGCTGTTTGCTGTGCACCAGTGCATTTATAGTTGCTAGTAGCGATGCCAGGAGCCCCTAGGAGCGTCCTTGCTCCTAGTAGTATCATATGCTTTTTCTGAGGTAAAGACAAAATCGTTAGTGATTAGTACATGCTTGGTACCCCAAATCCCGTGCTCCCCTTTGGTGGACTCACCTGGAGAGCATCGCGTTCTTTTTCTCAACATCTGGGCTGACCATCCTGAGTCACCCAAATGTAAATAGAACACAAAACAACGAGCACATCATAGGATATGAAACTCTTTTGAGCATCTTGGTTGTGTTGGCTTTAAGTTGGAAAGTTTGACTCAAAATCCTTTGATGGCAGGTGTCGTTTCAAGTCCTTCCACATCCTTCCACCAAGTATATCTGAGGCAAATATGCTGCCGTCGAGCGAAACGAGACTGAGAGCCTTTGAAAAACCAGTGGGGAGCCAAGGGCTCTCAGAACCTGTGCTACACGGTGACAAGGGATCGACCATTTGCGGACAGATCGGACTCTTATTTGCAGGATACCGATGGCCTCCAACCACCAGCAATGGCCTCCAACCACATAGCGATGGCCTCTCTGGATACCCTGTATACCTGAGAGTTCTGACTGTGTGTCTAAACACAAGCTTTTTCATGGACTAGAATCATCTCCCGCCCTAAGTAAAACACGATGACATTGGAGTCAGCACGTGTGCAAATGTTGCAAATTTGTGCTCTCCATGTACACACTGTTTTTTTCGAAGTGCACGCATATGGCATAGCATTTTGCAGAAATAGCGCTGACTCACTGACATCTCAGGTCATCGTCGTCACGATTCGCGGGAAAATTGGACGTTGCCAAAAGCAGAAGTAGTTTGACTTGGTCCCAATTGAGTTTGGAAGACTTTTGGCGCATCGGTGTCCAATTGCGAAATGCAGGCTCAAGTCACGCCTTGACTTTACTAATTTGATAGCGAAAACCGGCCTCTCTGAGCCGAAGGCCCAGATTGGCCCAAAGGGCAATGCTGGCGGGGCAACTCTTCCTATGGCTAGCAACTGCCACAGCGGATGGACATGGAGCGCATGGAGCATGTGTTGCTCCGGTCCTATTGCAGCGGCAGCAATTATTGCCCTTTGGCTGAAGATACATATGAGACGATCCATGGTGATTCATTTGCTAAGTCAGTGATGTTTGTGAGATATTTGAGTATCATGTTAAAAATTGACTGGTTTGCCCTCGTTTCTTGTGGCTGGTGTGTCAAGCTAAGGCATGATGCACTAGCCCATGGGCAGTATGGGCACCGTGTGCACGAGGCAGGCACGAGACAACTCTGACAGGTGACGTGTTGGGCAAAGTTTTGGCGACTCGAACGAAAAAGGAAACGATAGAAAAGTCTTAAGAAAAGAAGAAACATTAATCAACCAACCAAGTGGTACAAATAGAAAAAGATAGGCCAACGGGAATGTTAAGATACCTTTTCTGTATTTGATTGATTGCGTTTTGGAACGTCCTCCGTCCGAGGCCGCTTCTCGCAATGAAAGTGTTGACGAGGGTGCCTCTTGGATCCAGGTGTTCCAAACAGCCACAATTGTCAACAAGCTACTAGTAGCAAGGTGCCTTACTACTAGTAACAAGTGCCTTACTAGTAGTAACAAGAAAGCTACTAGAATCGAGGGTTACTAGTAGCTTGACTCAATTGTCTATGCCTCTCGGGCCTCTCGGCCTGATTTCGTTTCAGGTGACGACGAGAAAGAGAAGGAGATTGGGAGCATGGACAGAGATTGAGTAGGTGATTGAGTAGGTGATTCCTTTTTTACCATTTGCACGGCGCCTTAATCCTCGCAGACAGATTCAAAGAGGCATGAAGAGTCTATCCTCAGCGAAAAAGCAAGCAAGTAGTTCAGCTGGGCAGCTGATCGCCTGCAAGAGTGGTTCTTTTCCTTGAGGCTTCCCTGGCGTTTCACCCTGGACAATATCCTTGAATGCATTTGTAGGCTAAGGGGCTAACCAATCACCAAAGCATCCACCACATGAACTCGCGAATTGAATGCACCTGAAAATGAAACGAGCGAGGCCAGAGGTATCAGTGTATGTGCGCAATTTGCCACCACACTCGTGCTGGACAGCGAGCAAAAATAGAAAAACCTACCAGTCACATCATAAGATTCTATTTGGTCACAGAAGATGCAAAAAATATAGCCCAGGGAGCAACACAGTGTGGAGATCTGTGATATGTGGATGTTCGATGAGGTGCTTTTGGAAAGCAATGCCCCATAAATGCTGGAAAACCTGTTCCGTTGAGATCTTCAGAAAGGCTACGAAGAGTTCAAAAGGCTCGAAGCCGAAGGAAGCCGAGAAGATGTTGAAGTGGCTCCAGAAAGTCTTCAATGTATCCGCCGACGGCAACATTTGCCAAGCAGACGGACTGTGTTTTCTTTCTCCACTCACTTGTGTTTTTGACTCTGTCGGTCTGGCTGTGCGTGTCTCTTAAGAGAAAGTCACTTCGTCGGAGAGGACCAGATGGCGCGCTGATCAGCACCGTTCAGGCCTATTCATTTCAATCAGGGAGGCCATTGCTATTGGGTTCGTACACAGCAATTTGATGCATATCTTGCAGTCCAAGAATCCTGACGTCCTCTCATTGGACCTGACCAATGCCTTCAAAATCAACAAGGACCGAAAGACACAGAGTCGTGAGAGAATGCGAAGCAATTTTCTTTTCTCTTCGCTATTAGGAGCAAGGACGCTGCTAGTAGCTCCTGGCCTTACTACTAGTAACAAGAAGCTATAGGAGCAAAGGGCATCGCTACTAGGAGCAAGGATGCTACTAGTAAAATGCTGAGATGAGATCATCAGACTCTCACGGAGGGATCGTGAGACCTCGTGAGAGACCGACTCTGGGAGTGAGACCAATCTATTCGACGTGTCGATGTATCAGGTGGTGAAAATCTTGGTCACGGCCATGATCACTGACGGGACCTACGTTGAAGGCTGTCCCAAACACACAAACAAGATGAGTCCACACAATAAGAGTCTTAAAAAGGATATCAAAAGAAACACCTGTAACACTGCTTAAGATGCTCACTGCTGTGTTCAACACACCATTGGGGTCTCTTAAATGCTCACGAAACTCATCTCAGACCCTAGGCTATCCTAGTTCCAGTTCCACTAGATTTCCTTGCGCTATTTTGGAGGCCATCGCTATTAGCAACTCAAAAGAATTTCGCAAAAATAAACAATTCAAGGTTTTTGGGTTCTGTTAAGGAGCTGGGTTCGTTGCGACGCTGGGGGAGAACACAGATATCTATTTGGAGCTCCAGCTGGACCCAACCAGGCATCAAGTACATTCAAAGACAGCATTCATGATGTACAGTGAACCTACAGCAAACAAACACACGCATGTTTGTACATGAATCCAGGTCCGTGGTGGATGTTTACCAACCTCAGATGGGATTGCGCACCACGGACATGGAGTCAAAGGAGCTGCAATGCAATGCCAAAATAGGATTAAGTTTGGTAGCATGAAGACCCAGAGTCAGAATGAGTTGGCCTGCCCCGTTGTCATGCGTGTTTTCCTCCAGGAAGCTGTTGAGAGAGGCGCCGGGGATGGCTGGCTCGATGTTCTGCCCATGACGCCGTGCCCACCTCCGCTGGAAGGGAGCGTGGTCGTGGATGCTTCACCGCTCGTGCCTCGGAGAATTCTCGACTCGAGTCACTCGTGAGGAACAAGGTTCGCTACTAGGAGCAAAGGGCATCGCTACTAGGAGCAAGGACGCTACTA